TCTCTACTGTTAGATGCACTTCTGTCAGCTTAAAAGTCATGAGAACTACTGCTCTGTGAATTTTCAGAAATTTCAGAGAATAAAAATGCCAGAAGAGCTGCAGATCCATCTAAAATGAAGAGAGCTGTGAAAAATGTTGTCGTTAGCGCAGGAAGTGTTTTCACTCCATGATTTTGGCAGAATAAATGAATCAGGCTATAAACATTTCATCTCCTGGTTTGGGAATAGCTGCAGACTCTCTAAGACGTCTGTGTTACTGAACCAACAAGGGAAGGGCAAGCTACAGAGCTCCTAAAATCTCCAGCCCAGTTATACAACAGGGACAGGCACAGTGTAGTGTCCACACTGCTCCGCTCAAGGTTTCAGCCACTTCCAGCCTCACAATTCATGAAGCAAAGCTGGGCAGCCAAAGGAAAAAAAAAAAACAACGCAGGAGGAAGAGCACGCTGTATCTACATAACACAGTGTTGTAGGCAGCATCTGTCAGAAGCAGTGAGGGAGCAAGTTTCAGAACCAAAACCAATCTATCTTTGTCAGCACAGTGCTGCACTGAGATTAACTGGCCCCACAGAAGACGTCAGAGGAGTGTGGGATCCTCCTGGGTTGGGCCTCCCAGGCTTCTGGCACCTTCACACAACCACTGTCAACACGTTTTGGGCAATATCTAGTGCAGGCTGCATAAGGTAGCCCTGGAACAGGACCAGCCCAGGACTCCATCCTGCTGCTGGCTCTGGGCTGTAATTGTAGCCTTTCCTTCTCTGGTATTGGAAAGCCTGGGCTCTCGGAGTCAAGCTGAGAGAGCAAGAGCAGAACCCATTCTCCACCAGCTAGATAGAGCACTGGACATGTACTGATCTCCCAGAAACACCCATCAGGAATCTGGGAGTCCAGAATATTAAGCTGAGAAAAACAAGGCTGAGGTGAAGGCACAGAGGCAGTACACAGCATCAGCACACTTTAAGAAGGCGGGCTGCTGCATCAACTCCTAATTCCACTTCAAAATTTCTGAACCAAAGGTGACTACAGGCTGCTAAGTCAGCAAGAAAGCAAAACTTGCACTGAAACAGTTCCCCTGCTGTTTTCCAGCTTTGCTGCTGCAGCAGGCATTTGACCTTGGTATCAGGAACAATTACACCAAGGGTACTGTGACAATGGGACTCTGACTCAGCTTTACAGTCACTTTGTTGCATACAATTCCTGTGGCTTTGCTAGGAGCTGTTAGTGTTTCTATACAGAACAGGCCTTCAAACAGGATAATTTGGTCACAACCACCAGCACCACACATTAAATCTCCTTTTCTAACATCCCAGATGTACCTGAAGACCACACAGGTATCTGGAGCTCTACTTTCTTCAGTACATTCTGTTAATTTGCTTTTCATACAGTCACTGAGTTGGTTAGCAACAAAACAGAAGAAGTCACAGTTAGCCATACACACAGTTTAAAAATGCATACCAGAGAGGGAGAAAAGTTCAGCAGAACTTTTAATGTGAAAGATGCATTTTCTCAATTTCTTTAATATTGTTATAAAAATCATAACCTTGAACAGTGGTTTTTTAAGCACCAAGGGACTCCTGCAACAGCCTGCTGAACAGAGAGGGATGCAAAATCCTTGTGGGAAGGGACCTTATTTCCTCCCAAAGCCTTTCACTCTCATTCCAAGTTCCTTCAGTTCATGTCACCAGGTGACTCTTCTCTAAGACACCTGGTTTATTTACTCTCAGCTGCTGCCACCATCATCTCCTCTTCCTTGAGTTGCTAAAATTGAGTTGCAACAGGCTTGAACATCCCTAAGTGAGAATTAGCTAATGCTTCAGGTGAGCCATAGGATGCATGCCTACCCACAAAGCATGCCTGTAGCATAAACTAATACCAGCTGCAGAACTGCCCTCTACAATCAGGCACAAACACAGGGAAAAAAGCCCTCAGTGAGGTACAAATCCAGAAGGATATCGCCTATCCTTTTGTCTTCCAAATGCAAGAGCAGCAAGTTAGGCTTTATTTCTCCTTTAGATACAGAAAGTGTGAAATGGAAGCACTGAAAGCTGTTGTAGCACGGTTCAATAGTTTGTTCATCTGTACTAAGTATGATCTGAAAGAACAAATACTATGAACCATGTTTTCAAAAACCGTGCTAACCATACCATATTAGCCTAGGCACCCCAGTTCAGTATCTGTCTTCCAAACCTGAGCCCTCAGCTAGCATCCACGTAGTGCTGGAGTGCACAGAAGCAAGGTTGTAGTAATGCACCGTCCTTTACAAATGTAAAATAGCAACAGCTCCAAAACTATTTTTTTTTCATCCACTTCTGTTTGGTGTTTCCAGCAGACAGAACTCTTTGCAGGTTTCATTCAGCAGGCATTTAAACAGTGTTCTGCAGGAACGACTCACTGAGTCATCCACTCCAATACTGCAGCCTGGTACCCAAAATGCTGTGGTCATCATTCCTATAATGAGGCTCAGAAGGAACCATTAGATTATGCAGATTAAGAACATTCCTGTACGGACAGGAAAAGCAACTTTAGCCCTTTTGGCTGGAAGAGTCAGATGATCCCTCCCTTGCTTAAGATGTCATTATCTAAGATCCTTTCCTCCTGGTGAGTGACAGAAGGACTCCTGTCAGTCTGAAGCTTAATATCCTCACATTTTCAGTCACATTTTATTTGCATTTATAGCTATGGAACATGCTAAGTAATGCCTCTCCATCTTCACCTTCCTGGATTTTTAGATTCTCTCTTTAGAAAGGAAGGAAGGGATTCATTTGGCACCACAGATGAAGATATTCTCCCTTTAGAAAACTACATTATTTTGTGAGCGTGTTGGGTAAATATTTGCTCTAGATTTCCGTTCCAGCTTTTAGAGGCTATGGTCGTGCGTAGATGTGTTTTACTGAAAATATTACTGAGCCAAACTGCACTTTTTACTCGTGCCCACTAACTGTAACTGTTACTGTGCCCATTAACTTGACTGAATGTAATTTAGGAAAGATCAGCAGTCTGCTACTCACTGAGCTATACATTTACAGCCATAAAGTGACCTGCAGCTTTATATACACATACAGTACAGTGTGGTGTACACCTAACTTTTTAAGAGACCTTAAGGGAACACATAATTTAAAAAAAAAAAAAAAATCCAACAAATAAAAGCATGCAGATACAGTTAATAGCCTTAAAAATCATCTATTGAAGCAGTAAGATTTAAAAAACAACAACAGAAAACACTAAAAACCAGGCTTTCTTCCAAAGGCAAATAAAGCAAACAAACTGCACATTTCAAGAATGTTTCTCTGCTCATTGTCAGTTCACTTCTGGGAAGAAAAAAAGATATATATATCACACAGCATTTCTAGAACCAAATAAAAAACACAGAAAGAACCCTTCAACTCGTTAACCTCAAAGAAATAAGGAAGAGAATTAATGAATACAAGAACCATATTCAAAAAATTCAGCTCCTACTTCATTCCAACTGGCAAACACATTTCAGACCAAAACTCTGAAGGGGGTAAAAGTGGGAGTGAGGAATGAGATTTTTCTGTGCTTATTCCTTTACCAGTTTATCATTCCTTCTTTTGATTTTCTGTAGAGTTGCAAAAAACTCATCAGGATAAGAATGACTGCAGATAAAGCAAAGCCAAGGCTTCAGGAAAGACCTCTTGACCCAGCAGGAAGGCTGGAGTGAGCCTGACCTACCTACCAGAACCACCCCTGTTGGCCTGCACTTCCAAACACATTCTCAAACAATTATGTTCCTTATCTTCCAGCCTTGAGATTTGTGTTCAATATGCAAAAGAAAAGGATTCATTTACAAGTGGTTGATAAGAAGGTTTTCAGACTACAGCATAAGCCTGAAAGTAAAAAAATATTTGCAAAAATGTGTCCCCTACACATTTTTTAGCTCCTGTAACTATACACTAAATGCTGCAAATGGATTCACCAGCAGTGGAAGTGTTTGGCAGCCATACAATGTTTTTATAGCAAGATATACGTCCTTGTTCAAGCCAGAAATGAGTTCTGGGAAGGCCTACTTTCTCTCACACACCAAGTTACATTAGGAAATCATGAAAATCCCATCTGGTTCAAAGAACAATCTGATAACAGTAGCTTAAGCAATACAATTCCAGGGATATAAGAAGTATGAGGTAACTTCAGTACTGCACAGATGAGTTAGAATTCAAATAAATTACAACCAGCTTTTGCTTGGTAGATCAATCATGATACTTCTTCCAGGCTACCAGTGGAAGTTGGTATCAGCTTACCATACATTTTTGTCCAGTTTCTTTATCATGCCACCCTCTTGCACTCAGGGGAATAAAACATCAAAAAAAAATATTGCCAAAAGATAAACAAGCCACATAAAATTAATTTCAAGTTCTTGAGAACATGCTGAAGGTAAAATACAAGTCTTAAATTACTTTAAGACTTTAATCTGGTTATTGAATAGAATCTGTAAACATGTTATTTTTATCCTTAGAAAACATTTGACGAGCTTTGAGCATCTAAAAACAACCCTCATATTCTTAAGTTCAAAAATTATCCACTAAAATGACCATTTGGTAAAGCAGCTGAGTGAGAACTCTATTTGTTGGAGATCTCTGCTTCTATAACATTAAAGGAATGCCTGTCTTCCGTTCTGATCTGTTGAAATGAGGGCTGCTCTGTAAATAATTCCTCGTTTTATTATGTTGGCCCACAGTATCAGAGGCAGATGTTGGTGGTATTGCACTAGAGGTTGAACCTTCCAACAATATTCCCTTACAACACTAAGGCTTCCAATAAACAGCATTTGTCACAGAGCATTGTATGTTGTGACAAATGCCATTTAAAAAAAAAATACTTCAGTGATGTAGCAACCTTGAGAAACGTCAGCCCCTGCATTATCCAGTCATCAGCATACCGCAGAATTCTGATGCAACCTCTTGCAGTTTTGGAGAACATACATCAAGTCTTTTTCCAGCAGGCCTAAGCCATTCCTTTCCACAGAGTACTAATGTCATACTTACGCAAAAAGTGTTTTTCCAGTAAGGCTATTTCCAGGTGACCTTTGATTTCATTCAGTCTGTCAGACTCCGTTCGGTTAAAATCCTGGACTCCTGAAGCCATGATGATGGTCCCTGGACCAGCCTGTAAGAAAGCCAGAACACACTGACAGCTCAGAGGCACATTTGGTTTTGGTCATTTAAATATATCAACTTACTTTTAGTGCAGTAAAGACAGCCGTGGGAAAAACACACAAGTATCAACAATTTTGCATGTCTCTTAATCTGCATTTAACAACCAAAAATGGATGAGTGCAAACCAATCCAAAGCATGGTATCTTTCCCACGTGAATCTGAATGACGCAGACCTCAAGGAGATACAGAAAACAAATTTTCTGCTCCCTCAGCATCTATGCCGTACCATCATTTACCCTTTCTTCTGCTGATTTGAAAAGTGTAATTATACTATGCACCTCCCACTCCCAGTTAAGAAATGATGTGACATACTTTACACATTAAATTGAAAAGCTAGTGAAAGAAATATTCTAAATATTTACTCTAAAAGAGCATCCTGGGGGTCCAGGCGGAGGGGAGTCAGGAGACTGTCCTGACTGATTTATTGCTGTCACCCCGAGCACGGGAAATACTGCCAGAGATGAGAATTAAATAGCAATGTGATCAGTTAAGAACAGCAGTGACAATCGCCACCTCCACAAAGAGAGCAGAGAGAGAAAGTGAGCCCACACAGCAGAAGGCAGGTGATGCTGCCCATTTCTCATGAAGTGAGCATTTTCAGAAAGCAGGGAAAGGGGAGTGTGTGAGGGCATCTCTTCAGCAATGGAGGGTGAGGCCCTGCATGCAGTGCCCACTGCTTACAAGAAGGCTGCCAATGAGGTTTACAGGAGGCCAAACTGAACGGCATTACGGGAGCCTGCATTTTGAAAATGATCTTCAGACAAAGAGGGATTTATCATGAACACTTCCCCAATCCCTATTTATCTCTGAAAACATACAGGAGCTCTACTGCTTTCTGAAGTCAGCTACATATATTTAACTGCAACAGTTTAATTACATACTTACATCAACTCAGCTAATTTACAGGAGAGTTAATTAAAATACATTTTCTATGTCTTAGGAAAGGATGTACAAAGATCACAGGCTGCAAAGTACTTTTACTGGTGGGAATGATTTGCTCTTTTAAATAAAGCAGTGTGGAAATACCTATTAAACATCTGTTTTCTTGCTCAAGCTGAACAGACACAGTTTGAACCTCAGAACTGTCAATGAAGTCAAATGAAGAAGCGGTGGACACTTACTGCAGGACATCTACCTGGCATCAGCTTCCCACCTGGATTTGTTTCATATAGTGCCAAGCAGGGATGCTATTTCCTGTTCCAAAAGTGCCACAGTGACACCCACAATCCTGCAAGCTGTCGGCCCTGATAAGAGAAGCTGTCAGCACAGCGCTGCTCCCAGCTGGAGCATGAGCATCCCAGCAGCATGGCACAGCAGGCAGACAGAACCCACAGCCATACTGGTATGGGGAGATGCAGCACAGCATCCTGCTGTCCAGGTACCACACCTCCCATCCAGCCAGTGAGGTGCAGCACTACAGGCCACCTGACACTGCTCCAGCCTGGTGAGAGGAGCGGTTTATTTCCAGATGAGCACAGGACGGTGATTAACCTTGGTGTTGATTTCTTATCTTTAAACCTGGATCATATGCATTCAGTGCTGTAGGACTTAGTGTTACTGCTTGCTAGACACAGTCCCACTGAGGAAGGTGTGGCAGACGTCAGGCAGGAGCACCTTGCAATACGCTATAGGCAGGCAGAAGGAAGCATTATAAAAATGCAGACTGCTACCCAGTCATGAAAGCACAGATTTTATATTGCAACTGAGTTTTTATCACTCTGTGACTCATATAGGAGGGAGCTTAACATGTTTGGCAGAAGTACACCTTGCTCAAGAGGACAGCTTTTGGCCCCAGCATGTAGGATTAGATATGGAACTGGCTACAGACACTGCTGAGAAAATACACAGCTTAAAAAAAAAAAAAAAACCACACTAAAAACCCCCCCACAACATAAAGGCCAGAGAGTAAGGTGCTATACTCATCAGGAATGCTCACAAGCTATGCACATCAGGCCATGTGATAGCATGTGCTGTGACACTTCAGCCGTACTGCTAGAGGCACACTGCTCCTGCCACACTGCTCCCCAGTCCCACGCAGAGCAGATGGGATAGAAGATGACAGGTGAGGGAAGAGTGGAGGGAGAAAGGGGCTTGTACTTGTCTGAGATATTCAAGTTTCCACCCAAGTAATGGGATAAAAATCAGCAGGTACACACAGAATCATAGAATGGCATGGACTGAAAAGGACCTTAAAGATCATCTAGTTTCAACCCCCCTGCTGGGGGCCATTAAACTAACCCCAAACAACCTAAGCCAGAGAGAAGAAAACAAATAAAAAGATAAATTAAAATATAAGGCTGCTTGCTAAGAACACCAGGAGCAACATCATGCATGTACTGTATGATGTACAATAATAATGAAATGGTTTAACCTGAGTAGTAAGATGAGATGCACAGCAACACAAATTTGGTGAAAAACAGAGCACCCACTCCAAACTTAGTGACATCATAAAGTATTGCTGAACACAACTGAGAAGGGCCAAAAAAGTGAGCACATACAGGAAAGAGAGACATTTAAGCAGATGGCATTTCTGTCAGAGAAGATTTTTCTCCACACCAACACACCTTGCTCTGTCAAGAGGTGTTATGGGCTAAAAAGATAAGAAATGAGCCTGTTACGTTCACTGGAAGTCAGCTGCCTGTCTCAGGAATGCATAACTGACTCCACTCACAGGTTAATAAAAAATGTTCCTGTTGTAATTCCTGTGTTAAATGGGTAATAGCATTTCTTTCTTCAGTTGCTGTAGGACAGCTCAGGGACTGGGATTGGATTAACACAACTCTACTGTACAGATGCCCTTTCTTGCTTCTGCATGACTCAGTAAAAGCCTTAAAGGCTTCCACAGATTTCTGCTTTTCCATAGCTTCTCCCTCTCCAGCTTTGACAATGTTTGACGCAAGGACCCTCTTAAAATGTTGGCAATCACAATTACTTAGCGAAGATGAGTTTGTAGTGCCTAGGAAGCCAGCAAAATGCCACGGAGTTGAGCAGGAAGAGTTTAAGTCAGAGGGGTTAAAGGCACATTGCTGATGACAACAGACAACCTGCTGTCTGAACTCCTGCTCCACACCACATCCAGCTCCAGGTCTGAAGGCAAATCTCACTGGCCCACTAATGTGCTTTTATAGCCACCTGCAGGTTAGGTTTTTAGCAACAGCACCTCTCAACCTGAGAGCTCTTTACCTTCTACAGACTTGTATCCCAAGAGCCCTGGCATTTGGTTTTGAATGCTGAGCACCCAAACCTGTGAACGCCATCACTGCGCAGCCGCAGCAGAGGAACTCCATTGCTCAGCAGATACGAGTGCATCTCCATCTGCAGCACAGCATATCTCAGCATTACACAGACATGCAACTGTTCAATTCCTTTTATTTATTCACACAACATCACATGGAGATTTTTTTTTCCAGGAGCATCTAAGAAGATGTTGGTCTTGTTTCCAGGTTTGCAATCACCTTATTAGAGGAACAGTTCCCAAATGAAACAACTACTGACGCAGGCAAAGATGAGTGCTATTTTCACTGCAATTTGCACACCACATTGGTTGCCATACCCGGGGACAACAGCTTAGATATAACATCCTGCCCTTCTCCCCCATTCCTCAACAAAAACCCTCACATATTAGGGCTGCCCAGAGTGCACACGACTTCCAGATTACTTCCTTCATATACCCACACGCTATGAATTAGCCTGCTGTTCTCAACTGACACTGCTCAAAGATTCTTTGAAATAAGCAAGGGTTCACCATGGCTGCCACAAGTACCTGCTGCAGGGAAAGGAAAAACACCAGGCAGACGGCTCAAGAACAAAGCATCCGCATCAACTGCTAATCCTCAATAGCTGCTCTGGGAAGCACACCCACAACAGATAGCTCACAAAGCACTGCTATATTTTGAAAGATTTTTTTTGTTGTTATTTTAGTGGCAGCTTATTTTATCTGTAATGTTTGCCTGAGTCTTCATATCTTCAAATCATTGCAAATGAGGCAACAGATACACAAATTTTAAGGTTTTAATTGACATGCTTCAGGAAAAGCCAAACTGTACTGGAACAGCAATTAAATTAATGTTTGCTGCACCATAATAACTCAGATTTAATCCTAGCACACTGGCAGGGAACTTGCATAAGTAGATTAGGCTGCTTTCAGTACAATATGCCAGGTACCAGAGAGCTTCAATTGGAAATTCTCACTGAGTTCAGTGCAGAAGCTCCGGGGGCTGGAACACAAATTTGTTCTTCCCCTCTTCTGCCCAAGGGGACGTGATCTTCTCTCTGCTGTACTTGAATTCACTGTGTGTACTAGGAAACATTTTCTCCCTCTTATAAAAATGGAATACTTTTAACATTAACAGTGCATAAATTCACCTGGATCACAAAACAACGAGACACTATATAGAAGGCAAGACAAGCCAAAACAGGCAAATACAAGGATGGGCCATGATTTCCAGGGTGCAGTCCCAGCCCTGAAGATTTGCGTCATAGTAAATCAGGCTGCAGACATTACATCTCTAAAATAGGAAAACGTGATGCCTGAGTCTTCCCTCTGTACTCAGCACTAGTGAGGCCACACCTCGAGTACTGTGTTCAGTTTTGGGCTTCTCACTACAAAAAAGACATTGAAGCCCTGGAACGTGTCCAGAGAAGGGCAACGAAACTGGAGAGGGGTCTGGAGCACAAGTCTTATGAGGAGCAGCTGAGGGAGCTGGGATTGTTCAGTCTGGAGAAGAGGAGGCTCAGGGGAGACCTCATTACACTCTACAACTTCCTGAAGGGAGGCTGTGGTGAGGAGGGGTTTGGCCTCTTCTCCCAGGCAACAGACAGGACCCGAGGAAATGGCCGCAAGTTGTACCAGAGGAGTTTAGGTTGGACATGAGGAAAAACTTTTTCTCTCAGAGAGTGGTCAGGCACTGGAATGGCTGCCCAGGGAGGTGGTGGAGTCGCCGTCCCTGGCAGTGTTCAAGAGGCACCTGGATGAGGAGCTGCGAGATGTGGTTTAGTGCTTGTGGTAGCAGTGGTGATGAGAAGACGGTTGGACTGGATGGTCTTGCAGGACATTTCCAGCCTTGCGATTCTATGATTCTATTCTATGTGATAGCACTGAATGAAAGGGGCTTTAATTAATCAATTAATAAATCTTATGTAAAGTTTCAACATCACAATATGACAAATGCTAATACTTTCACTATAAAGAAGATGGAATGGACCAGGTTACTCACAGTCAATTCAATAATTGTGGTGTTTTGACAAAACGAGCTTGAAATACCATTGCTGCATATGGAGTTGAATGTCCACATTTATTAAAAAAAAAAAACAAAAAAAACTGATGCTAAAATGGGGAGAAGGAGTAATCTGGGAAGCCATTCAAGAACTGAAAAAACGCTTCACTAAGAGCTTATTAAGCAACACAGTGCCTGGGCTATGACATGGTCACAGTGTCCAGGAAGCCCCAGACACCTAAGAAAGTAGCTGCTATCCCAGAAGTACCGGGTAGTAAGGGCAGAGAAGGGAGAAGTACAACCTAGTCTAGCCGCAGGCATCCCAGTTCATTGCAGGGGAGCTGGACTAGGTGGCCTTTAAGAGACCCTTCCAACTCATATGATTCTATGAAGTAACTACACAAGGAAATGGACAGCCTGTAAGTCAAGACTGAACTAGTTCAAGGTAAGAGCAACGAGTATTTTGAACAGTACAGAAGATTCTGAACAGAATTCAAATGAATTCAAAGAAAAACAACAAATCTTCAAGTCTAGGGCTTCCCTCGCAGTGCCAACCTGTTCTTATGGAACAGCTGCTTTACCCAAACACAGGTCCAGGTGTTTATTATGGAGCTAAACAGGTAATGCTTACAGTTTAAGATAGAGCATACAAGATTCCTTCATCCGGTCATCCTTTCTCTAGCCACAGGATGTAAATTCTGCATGTGTTACTTCAGTAAGATGTGAAGTTGTGGGACTAACTCCCACAGCTCTGTTTGTGGCTTGTGACTGAACATTCACTTAACTTGCTGAAGCTGGATAACAGAGATTACTCTTCTCTGCACACCATTAGACTGAAAAGTTAGAAGTAAAAGCAAAGCAGTGAGGGGCAAAGAAGAAACCTTTAACAAAGGGATGGCTGACAGCAGACTCAAAGACATCCATGTACTGAAGATGCAGTTAAGGGTGCTGAGATTCAAATCTTCCACGCTTATGTTCAGGTCTAAGCCAACAATGCTGCTGTTTCCAGCTCAGGAGTTCTCCACTCAGATTTCAAGAGAAACAACAAAGCAACAGAAGTGAAAATACAGCACCAGCTCACCTGTACATGAAAATACACGTGACCTAACTTCCATTTATGCACAAGATTTGCACTCACTTCTGTCTGCTTTGAAGAGCTCCCTCAAGTATTCATCAGGAAGAAATCAACCCAACTTGGTCTTTTCTCGATCCCTCTCCTAGACAGCGTAATCATAGTATGATGCCATGGTGCTTACAAAGCCTATGAAAGACAACCACCCCATATAAGCAATCTAAGATTTGAGTTTCAGTCATGGAGAACAGTTTGGGCAGAACTCAAGCATCTGATCTCAACAAGACACAGACATAACTCAGAATCCCTCTGTTCACATGATGTCAGCCACTATTTTAACACTGGCTTAAATACAGAAGAATTACTTTGGTTACTCCTGGCAACTCTGCAGGACTAGGGATTATTTCTTCTCCCTTCACTTCATGGGTGGGCAGCAGTGCTTAGGAGGACAGAAGCCTTCCAGAGCCAAGTAGCAATCCCTCACACTTTCCATGTGAAACTTAGCCCCTATAGTTCAGGTCTCTTTCCTCATCCAAGTTTGCTTTGCCACTATCTGCAACACAGCTGCTGCTCTTAGCCAGTGGTTCTGGCATCACACTGGCTTTGGAAGTCACTAACACTATGAGCAGGGCATAACAAGTTTGATAGCATTCCTGCTTTTCTTTTCTCCCCTTTCTCTCTGTTTCTCTGTGCTCAATTATATCCCACAGAGTTAGGTCAGGGCACTCCACATCATGTAATCAGCCAGCTAGCAAAGTGCTTCTCTTCAAATTGGTTTCTGAAATTGTTCAGCTCTGCACACTGAGGTGTCTGGATGAAAATAAGCCACTACTTACCTAAGATAAATTGAGACAATACCATGTTGGAAGAGTAAAAACACAACAGCCTCAGTACATACAACAGATATGTAGTAACAAAAGACAGATGCCACAGAAGAGTAAGAGCAAAGATATTCAAAAGACCTTCCTTGTCTGAGGAGCTTGACAATATGAATACAATAGGTTTTTTTGTGATACAAAAATGCTCTATTGTTACCACTTGTTTCATTATTATAGGAAACAAAACCTGGCAGAAGAGCTTCACATAAGCAAAGACCATTTGTGCTACTATATGCTTACAAAAAAAAAAAAAAAAAAAGGCACCATTAATAATAGCCACTGAACAGGATACAAGCTGCCAAACCAAGGGAAATGCTTAACCCTACACAGATTGCAATCTTTCAGATGATTCCTGTAAGCAGTGAGCACGCGTGTTTGAAACGTGGTCCAGCTGTTATCTGAAAGCTTGTATCTGGGTCCAAGAACCACACTGTGAGTCCCCAGAGTGGTACAAGTTCTGACTTCAACAGCTGAATTGCCAAACTGTAATTTAGATTGTACCCAGTAGTCCAAGCTCAAGGACCACAGTCATATAAGAGGTCAAAGGAGGATTCCTTATATTGTTTTAAAAACAATATTTAACAATTCCTGAAGCATTTCTATTTTTATAGAAAGCCATTATATTCAGTTGCTCCTGCTTGCAAGTGTCAAAAAGTTGTAGCGGAAGAGTCTTGCATGGGGTTAAGACAGCCATGAAATATGGCAGCATCACTGGATACAACACTCCAGTAAACAATGAGGATTCAGAAATTGTATGCCTACAGTTCTGGGCAGTGGCAGTTATGAGTTTCTCTAGCTGAAAAACAACCAGAAGTCTCTCCTTTGTATTTATTAGTAAAAACTTGAGAGCATTCAGAAGCACATCCAAAGTTAACAGACTTGTCAATCTACAACATCTAAAAACAACAGCAGGAAGAGGAAACATTACTATTAAGAAAGTACCTTGAACTTTCCACAATGTGGAAGCCTACTTAAAGCTTTATTCCCAATCCACAAATCTTCAAGTGCTAAATGCAAAATATAGGGGGCAAGGAATTATTCATTTGGTTGTTGTGTTTTTTTTCTACCCAACAATGACATAATTTAACAATACTTGAAGCTAGTACTTACAGGGTCTCTCAGCTCTTCATTGTCTCGGGGTGATGTTCGAGGTATTTTCACTGGGATTTCATCTCCACATTCAGTGTCAGAAGCATTTGGAGACTCTGCTAAATCAAGGAACTCATCTCTCTTGTGACCTCTGAACCTTATTTTGTCCAACTTCTTTAGCATGTTCAGCACTGCACTTTTCTGCTTTACCTTAACATGACGGTTGGAGTCTCTGCAAGAAGCAAGACATGAAGAGTACTTTAGAAAGCTTTCAATAAGCCTAAATACATACATTTTGTTAATTACCTACTTACAGCCATCTTTTCAAGAGCCTTCCTGTCACTAGAAGAAAAAACATTCTGCAGCTTAGCTTTTTTTAAGAGGCATTTCTCCCCACCCCCTGTGTAACAGGTGCACGGCTTGTTTTCCAGTAGTTGATAACTTACCATCTTCCTGCACATCTTCCCCTACTGTTACAACCTCTTTCTCATGGCTATTTCTAAAGACAGAATGGGAACAAACTCACCACCTACCCCCAAAACAAGTTACTTTAAACAAAAAAGGTACAGTTGACATTGTTCAGCTTGTTGACATGTCTAATTAAAGACATGAAAATCCATTACACATCACAACCCATCTTTAAATCTGAAAAACTGAAGAAGAAGAGTAGCAAGGCTATCATAACGCTCTCCTACTTCAGAGTAAGAAAAAGGAAGGTAACAGGGATTTACTGAGGAATGCTGACAGGTAGATCCACACAGAAGATCCCATCAAAAATTTATGGATGGTTGAATTTGATATAGCACTTATTTAAATATACAGCCAAAATCCTTAACATTATTGTTATCAACAATCTTGTATACTTCGGGAAGCAATTTTGCTAGATTTCTACAACTCTCTTCTCAATGCAAAGGAGAATCACTTCATTAGTGATTTTCACATTGCCTAAAGGCAGAGCAAGCAGAAGTTTACTCTGAGTGCAACAGTTCACCCAGCACTTCTGCAAACAGTGCAGATATCATCTCATCGGGAGGGATAGGAGATGCACACATATCACTTCTGGAGATAACAGCTCATGCAAGAGTACTTGAATTTAGACTTAGTCTTTGAATTTAGTCTTAAAATTGTAATTCAGAAACCACAGAATCATAGAATCACCAAGGTTGGAAAAGACTTCTAAGATTATCTAGTCCAACCACCCACCTACCACCAATATTTCCCCACTAAACCATGCCTCAAACACATCCAGGGATGGTAATTCCACCACCTCCCTGGGCAGCCCGCTCCAGCATCTGACCACTCTTTGGGATTAGAAACTTTTCCAAACATCCAACCTCAACCTCCCTGATGCAATTTGAGGCCATTTCCTCTCGCCCTAGTGCTGGTTATGCGAGAACAGAGGCCGACCCCCACCTCCCACAACCTCCTTTCAGGCAGCTGTAGAGAGCGATAAGGTCTCCCACGAGCTTCCTCTTCTCCAGACAGAACCACCCCAGCCTCTCCTCATTAGACCTGCATTCACGACCCCTCACACCTCCAATGCCCTTCTCTGGACATATTCCAAAGCCTTGATGCCTATCTTGTAGCGAGGGGCCCAAAACTGAACAGAGAACTCAAGGTGCTGCCTCACCAGTACTGAGTATAGAGGGTTGATCACTTCCCTGCTCCTGCTGGCCAAACTATTTCTGATACAAGCTGGGATGCCATTTGGCTGTCTGAGCACACTACTGGCTCATGTTGACTAATACCCCCAAGTCCATTTCCTCAATGCAGTTTTCCAGCCACTCTGCCCCAAGCCTGTACCATTGCCTGGGGTTGTTGTGGCCAAAATGTAGGACCTGACACCAGGTCTTGCTGAACTTCATCCCATTGGCCTCAGACCAGCAATGCAGCCTGTCCAGATCCCTCTGTAGGGCCTCCCTACTTCCAGGTACATCAACACTTCCTCCCAGCTTGGTGTCATCTGTAAGCTAACTGACAATGCACTCAATTCCCTCATCCAGGTTATCAACAAAGATATTAAGCAGGATGGGCTCCAGAACTGACCCATGGGGAGCATCACTTGTGACTGGTTGCCATCTGGATTTAACCCTGTTTACCACCACTCTCTTGGCCTAGCCCTCCAGCCAGTTCTTTACCCAGAAAAAAATTGTACCTATCCAAGCCACGGGCTGCCAGCTTCTTCCAGGAGAATACTGTGGGAGACAGTGTCAAAGGCGTTACTGATGTCTAAGCAGACTATGTCAATAGTCTTTCCCTCATTCACCAGGCAGGTCACTCAGTTGCATAAGGAGATCAAGGTAGTCAAGCAGGACCTGCATTTCATGAACCAGTGCTGGCTGGGCCTGATCCCCCAGCTGTCCCACACTTGCCATTTGATCTCACTCAAGATAATCTGCTCCATGACTTTATCTGGCACTGAGGTCAGGTTGAGCTCAGGAGCCCCCAGTACAAGAAAGACAGGGAGCTGTTGGAGAGGGTCCAGAGGAGGGCCACAAAGATGATCAGGGGACTGGAGCGCCTCCCCTATGAAGACAGGCTGAGGGAGCTGGGCTTGTTCAGACTGGAGAAAAGAAGGCTGCGGGGTGACCTCATTGCAGCCTTTCAATACCTAAAGGGAGCCTACAAACAGGAGGGGAATCAACTCTTTGAAAGTGTAGATAACAGCAGGACAAGGGGAAATGCCTTTAAGTTGAGGGAGGGAAGATCTAGGTTGGATATCAGCGGAAAGTTCTTCACAGACAGAGTGGTGAGGTGCTGGAACAGGCTGCCCAGAGAGACTGTGGATGCTCCGTCCCTGGAGGTGTTCGAGGCCAGACTGGATGGGGCCCCCCAGGGCCTGGTTTAGCGTTGAATGGGGAGGTTGGTGGCCCTGCATGTGGCAGGGGGGTTGTAAATTCATGATCCTTGAGGTCCCTTCCAACCCTGGCCATTCCATGATTCCGTGACAGGCCTGTAGTTCCCCAGATCTTCCTTACAACCTTTCTTATAGATGGGAGTCACATTGGTAAGTCTCCAACCCTCTGGAACTCCTCTGGTTGACCCGGACTGTTGATAAATCACTTCCACCAGCTCCCTCAGCACCCTTAGATGGATCCCATCTAGCCCCATGGATTTGTGGCAGTCCAGGTGGAATGGTAGGTCTCTAACTGTTTCCACTTGAACCATGGGGGGCTTACTCTGACTTCCAGGTCAGAGGCTAGAGTACCCTGAGGATAGTTGGTTTGGCTTTTAAAGACAGGTGTACAAAAGGCACTGAGAACCTCAGCCTTATCCTCAGCAGTAACTTTTCCCACCACATCCAGTTAAGGATGGAGATCCTCCTTAGCTCTCCTCTAATTGTTAACATACTTGTTAAAAAGCATTTTGCTCTCTTTTACTATGGCAGCCAGGTTGAGTTCAAGCTTGGTTAATGCCTGATTTTTTCCCTGCACATCCTAACAACTTCTTTATACTCTCCAAGTTGCCCATCCCTTATTCCACAGAATCACAGAATCGCAAGGTTGGAAACGACCTGCAAGATCGTCTAGTCCAACTACCCTCCCATTCCTATTAGTACCACAAGCTACTAAACCATATATAACCATATAAACCATATATAGCACAGGAAGTAGTCTCCTTTTCTCCTGGAGACTTAGAAAAAGTTCCCTGTTCACCCATGCCGATGTTCTTGCCCCTCAGCTCATCTTATGGCACAGGGGGATATCCTGTTCCTGCACTCCCCCTGAGCTCCTTCTAGAGGAGCGTTCAGCCTTCCTGGACCCTTTTACCCTTCAAGGACCAACTCCCAAGGGACCGTCCCTTCCAGTATCCTGAACAGTTCAAAGTCTGCCCTCCAAAAGTCCTGGGCAGCAGTTTTGCTGACTCCCCCTCCTGACTCCATCCTGAATACAGAACTCTGCCATTTCATGGCCACTCTGCCCAAGACAGCTCCCAAACTCTGCATCCCCCACTAGGCGTTTTCTGTTTGTGAACAGCAGGTCTAGCGGGGCACCTCCCTGGTAGGCTCTCTTACTAGCTGCGTCAGGAAATTATCTTCACACGCTCCAGAAACCTAGACTGCTTCCTCTGCGCTGTACTGTATTTCCAGCATACATCAGGGAAGTTAAAATCTCCCAAGAGAACAAGGGCTGCGGACCACACAACTTCTGCCAGCTGCTTGTACGATGCCTCATCCGCCTCTTCATCTTGGTTAGGCAGTCCATAACAAACCCCACCAGGATGTCTGCCTTGTTGGCCCTCCCTGTGATCCTTACCCACAGAGACTCAACCTCATCATTCCCAATCCCAATCTTAACAAGATTAAAACCCTCTCTAGCATAGAGAGCCATGACAAAGCTCCTCCTTCTTTGCCTATCTCTTCAGAAGAACTTACAGCCTTCCATGACAGCACTCCAGCAGTGGAGGCGCTCCCTCTACGTTTCAGTAATAGCAACTAAGCTATAGTTTGCCTGCTGCACAGCAGTTTCCAGCTCCTCCTTTTAGTTGTCCATGCTGCATGTGTTGGTGTATTTGCACTTCAGCTGAGCATTTGTCTTATCCCCAGTCCTGACGTTGTTCCCCTCGGCTCATCTTCAGTGAGCCTCATTTTAACCTCTTCCTCTTTCATACCTGCTTTAAATACTTCAACCCTACCAGGAGAAGCATTTTGCTTTTCAGAAGACAATATAAGAAAGATGAATTAATATATGTAAACTCATCGTAATTCCAGCTTTCTAAGACACTGCACTGTATCACCTATGATTTAAACTGGGCCCCCTGACTCAGTCCAATTCAGTGCTGTAAACTTATCACATTGGGTAACAAAGGTCACAAACTCCAACTTCAGAGTCAGTTCCTTGATCACACCACTCCAGAAAGCTTCCATGGGCATCTACTGCGAAATAGCCAGTTTTTTCCTTCATGCAATTTATTTTCCTCAGCTCAGAGGCCTTCACATGGAGGATGCTTTAAAACTTTCACAAATGAATGCCTGTCAGGGTTGAAATCTGTTTTGATGCATCTGTTTGTATTACTATCCTCTTTTCCCTATGGTCAACATTCCCCTCTTCATCGTTAAAAGAAATGCATTAGCTGCATTGCACATCATCACATTATCCCAGGAACCAATGCAACATAAAAGAGACAAGCAAGATATAGACAGGCAACACCTTTGACATACAAACAGCAAGAAAGAGGTAATTCTCACCTCCTTGTACAAATCTCTTTCAAGCAGACCGTTCCCTCTTTCTCCAGATTCCCCTTCTACAGCAACTCTTTGCACCAAGCTCAAACCATTTGAAACTAATACAAATTCCCCACAGCACAGCCAGCTAAAGAAACGTCTTCCTTCATCAGAGTTGCAGCCCCGTTTATTTTCCTCTTCAACCTCTTGTAGTAGCTCACCCCAAGGTTATTTTCTACGAACTGCTTCTCTTTGAAGTTCTATTACTTGTCAAAGCTAAGCTTAAAATAGAAACACTTCTGCTCATTCATTGACTATATGATGAAGAAAGTTGTCAGCTATCACATCCCAAACTATCTCCAGGCCCTGCTATTAATAGAAACTGAAGAGCAAATGCTATCAGGGAAGTTTAAACCCCTGATAAGCACTGGAACAAATGCATTATGCTCCCTCCATCTCAAAGATCTCCATCACCATTCAGTTGATGTCACACAGTATGCAGGTCAGACCCACAAGAAGGCAGTTCTCAACCAGGCTTCTCTAGCCATCACCCCTTCCATCACTGCATGAAGAAGAAATGAGGATGGCACACGCTGCCTGATACCAACAGAGACAAGCATTCCAAGCCACATCCACCCTCCTACAGACAAAGCAGTTGGCTCAAGGTTGCAGATGGGCATCTTTCCTCAGCACAGCTAGAACCCTCAGAGTTCCTTGTTGGGATTATGCTTATTCACTGCTCCCTAGGATCAGGGCTGCTGCAGGACCTTTCCCAACAACAGGCTGGCACATACAGCACTTCAACGGCCATTTTGAGATCTGAAGTCAATTTTCATCTTAGAGTGGATTCATACACACCTTATAAAAGCAGCAAGAGGCAACAAAAATACTGAGACACAGCAAACTCAGACACTCTTCTTCTAGCTTTGCTTTCAGAGGATGAAAACTGAAGGACCCACAAGGCCAGTGAAGAAGCCCAAGATTGTATCTGCCTGCATTGGGACACTATTTAGGAACAAGAAGTCCAAATGGCAGCCGTCTCCTAGGGATCATTCATGTGTTTCAGCCCTGCTCATAGAATAACCAAGCCAAAGATGTGCCCAAGAATACACTTATTGTATTTTTACTAATGAAACAGATGTACCTGTCATTAAGTGTTTCAGCACCTGCTTATTTAAAAATGCAGACCTTTGTTTGAGACACTACCAGATTACTCCACTAAACAACATGCTCAAGTTCTGTAATGGAGAGGCTAGCAAGATCTCATCAGTGTATTAATTACTAAAATTATTATTCAGTAAGTCTATCATTAAATGATTAAATAGCACAGAATTGTGTTCCTAGGCATTTTTGTATTTAAACAAGAAACTATCACTTAGAAATATCTGCTAAATTATAAAACAATATGACCATCTTGTCTAAAAATTGTTCAAATGTAACAGGCTCCCAGATTGCTTAGCTATACTAGAGAAGAAAAACTTCAGCTTGCCAAGAAGCTCCTATAGAAGCTCATTCTTTGGCCTCAAGCCAAACACATGCTCTCAGATAGGCTTTTCATGTCAGCAGCCTATTCTTGTAACAAGCAACTTCTTCTTTTTTAGATGAAGATCGATAAATATGGCAACATTTCAATAGCTTCGCGTTCACTAGAAGAAAAGCTTCTCAGAGATTCCAAGTGACTCAGATGAAATCTAGCTAAGCATGAGGAAGCAAATAAGTCCCTACAGAACAAAAAGAAATCTATTTATAGGTCAGAATCTGGTCTTGTAAAACACAGTAACTAAATACCAAAACACCTGCTTCACCACCACAGCTATTCACCCCCTTACCCTCTCCCAGCTCCCCATCCATGTCCCAGCCCCAGCTCAGCTCTGAGTTTCAGGCTGTTTCTAGAGAGATCCCATAGCAGCAATATCAAACCTGACAGGCAGCTTTGTATATGCAGAGCTACAAGCAAGAACGCAGATCCTTCTCTCAAACTATCTATCAGCAGAAAGAAATGCAACTATTTTAACTTTGCACACTGCAAATGTACGTTGCATTGCTGTACATAAGGCAGCAGTTGCTCACATTAGCATACTACAAAAATAATACAAAAATTAAGATTGGTATCACCTTCATAAATCATTAATTCAAGCAAAATAAATGCTAATTCTTACAAGACTATTTCTGAAACAAGCACTGCAGTATTAATGCAAGCAACGAGAGATCTTTCCCCCATCCAGCTCTGTGGCACTAAGCACAGGGTGCAGCACGGCAGACGCTGACTCTGCAAGACTGATTTAGGTCCAACATCACGGCACCGCAGCCAGACCTCGTAACACTAGCAGGCCCTCTTCATGATACGGTGCAGCTATCTTGCATTAACGTGCTTACAAACAAGGCTATTCAGGCACCCACGTTTTGTTTTTGTTTGTTTTTTTAAGAAGGTGGCTTTCATTTCTCTCGTTGCAGTGGCAGAGGTCAAATCAGCAAAATGAAATACCAGCCTGTTAAAATTATCTTGGCTCCCAAATCATCCTGTAACAAGGTAGGCAACAGCTCATGTACTTACTTGATGAGCTTGGTTAGGGAAAAAGGTCTGTACTTGTCACATTTAAAAAACAAGCAAATGCTCAAACAGCAAAACCACCTTTAATTTTTTTTTTTCCATTGCAATCAATATCCTTTGGCTAATGCAAAAACTTCGTGGCTGAAGTTCTATTTCTTTTACAGAGGGCCAGAGAAGAGATGATTTTATTTGGACCTAGAACTAAAACCCTCAATTGGCACCAAAAATAACTATCAGACTATCAGACATTTAAGCTATCAAGACTCCAATCCCCAAAATAATGTATGCACACATCCCAAACTTCTGATGAGGAGAAAAATTCAAATTTTCTTAAACTTTCTCATAAAAATCACATAGATCTGCAGCAGCCTTCCTGCAAGTGTTTCCAGAGCAGCTTCAGCATGAAGATAGCTGTGAGCTACCCGTGAGCCTCAGGCAGCTGGAGAACAACCAGAGCCAGCCTGCCCTGCATAGCCCAAGGATCAGCAGTTACAGGACTTGCTACTATGGAAAGAGTCTCACTTCATCACAGCACTGCTCCCCACCCCTCCCCCCAACTGACTGTCAGATTTTTGGCAGGTCCCGAGCTAACACCAGCAGCCCTTGCAGCCCTGTGGAAGCAGCAAACACGATCTGCACTTGCCTGAATGTGGAAAAGTCGTTCCCCTGCAGCTTCCTACAAGTTGCTTAAGGGTTTCGGTTTTCTTTTCTCACATCCAGACTTTGACACCAGAACACAGCGAGTGTGAATATATGGCCTGCTAGACCAGGCAGAGATGCTGCAACTAAATTCTGATGTACACTTTGTCAGAGAGGGAACTCTGCTTCACAACCCTTGCAATCTTCTCATCTGATAACGAAATGCAGAGGCACTACACAGACAGCATCCCCTTGGCACACATTCATTGGGACTCTGAGAAAAAAAGAACACAAAACACTACAACATCATAGTGTAACTGTATATAAAATCAAAAAGGCCACACCAGACTGCGACACAGAGAAAGCCCTCAAAGCACCTGTGCTCCTATCGCTAGAAAAACAATATTTCAGAAAGCTAAAGACATTAGAGCCAAAATAGATCTAACATACCCCTGCTTCTCATCTTCACATTTCATTTTCCTTCACATTCTCCTTTTAATCTCAAAACGTCTTTCTACAGAAGTCAGGGAGTTCTGGTATTCGGTAAGAGCTCAACTGTGTGTGTGAACAAACACAGGCAGTGTCAACACCAGGACATTTCAGCCTTATCACGAGGGAGGGACATGCAAATGGAGGGAGTGGACAGCATCAGGCTTACTTTAGGTATTCACTTCTTTTTCAGTGAAACAATCCTGCGCATTCTCTTGACAGGAAAGCAGGGACACCACAAGCTATGTGGACGGTCCATATATGTCACCAGATAGAGCACTGAAAACAAGGCCTGGCATGCTTTCTTCTGGACATGTCTAATTAAAACAGGACCCTGAGTGGAACACCTACACCTACAACAGATTTAAAGGGCAGCTCTGCACAGAGCTCTGCACAAAAGGTTCCCTCTTTCTACACACATTCCTCCAGCTTTTCTTTTTAATGGACAGAATCTCATCTGAAGTCACTGTCTGAACATTTTGTACTTATTAATATTTAAAAACTTTAACTGGAGAAAGATCAACTGACTGCACTGTAAGATCCCTGGGCAGCCTGGTCTAGTGGTTGGCAACCCTGCAGATAGCAGGGGGGTTGAAACTCGATGATCATTGTGGTCCTTTTCAACCCAGGCCATTCTATGGTTCTACGATCTCTGCCTGTTCAGTTCTCTTTCCCCTGTAGTTCTCCCAGTTTGCTCTCCTGAAGGTTCAAATCTGTTCAGAAAACCAAACCTTATTTACAGCTTCTTCTCTTGAACAACAGGAAGTGGTTTTGTGTAGATAAAGTCGTTATCTTTCAAGAAAACTTGGCATTAAGCTCAATTTGAGAAGACACGGAAGAGTGGGGAAGGGATGACACAGCACAGCACTATCCTAAATCCCACTGTGGAAACATGCATCTCACTTCAGACCACGCAATAGGTTAAATTCTCCGTATAGAACCATGTCATTGTTTCCCCAGAACTCAGCCACCAGCCAGCACAGTTCTCCTACCAGCACCTCACCCACACACTGACCAAGAGCCTCAGAAAGAAACGCTCTAAGTGAGCAGCTAGTTTCCGAAAGCAATAATCCTTGCCTGCTTTGGAGCTAGGGAAAAGGCCACGCACTTTATACTCACTGGAAACAAACTGCAGTCCTCTGGGCCAAACATTCAGTCAGACCAGGCAAGAGCAGCATATAAACGCCTTCCAAAAGTCACAAAGGTTGCACAAGTGCCCTCAATTTCTCACATCAACAGGCAGAACTTAACCTTCAGAGCTAAGCTCTCTCCACACGCTCAACTCACCACAAGCTCATCCAGAAATTAGTCACTGCCTTCATGCCACAGCCTGCTATAATCCTCCTCAAATTATCTTACCCTGGCCCCAGAGTCATGACAGGATGCATCCAGTACACAGAGCAAACTATTTTCTGAGTAACACCTGTCAAAAGCACCCAGTCCTTTCAAGGTCAGGAGCCCTTAAAACACTACTCTTGTATGGGGATCAGCTTTTTTTGGCATGAGAAATTACATTATCAGTTAGGCTACCTACCTAAGGTTTGGAGAAATATACTTGTTAATTCAAGTTTCCTTTTTTCCTCCCCTCAAGTTTAAAGAAAAACAGACGAGGAAAATCCAGCCGGAATATTCTTGCCAGCATTAAAGACATCTTGCAGAAGAAAGCACCCCACTCCCACAACACTCAATTAACACCAGTAGGAAAGAAGCAGGAAGCTGTGCTTGGACATATTATAAGCTTTATTAGATGCAGCTATTAATTGACAATAATTTAAATTGTTGGAAGGTTGGGAGAAAAGCGGAAAATGTGTAACATCTTCTAAGGGAAAAACCCAGACATAGGAGACAGAAGTTTAAAACACTGATCTTGACTGAGGTGAGGTTGTCACAGCAACCATAGTGCAGCTTCATAAATATGTATTACTCTGAAATCTATTTTTTCCAATAGTCTCATGTGTCATTCAGTATCCAACATGAAGCTGCCTAGGAGATGGACCAAGGTAGTACAGTAAAAGCCATTTGTCTTCAGAACATTCTCTTTGGCAGCTGTAGGCAGGAGGGACAGGGATGCCACAGAACACAGCCTCATACTACAAGGCAGCAGAGTGCAGCTGCAGGACTGGCTTCTGGATCTGCGACAGAGTTCAGCCAGCGGTCCCCCAAGGAAGGCAGAACTGCTGGGCAGTCCCCAGCCAGATGAACCATGGGGACCTGGTTTGATTACCACTGGAATACTGTGGGATGCACAGAGTGGACAAAAAAAACACCACCACCCTACACACATACCTACACAGGTCACATGTCAGTGCATGAAGAAACCGAGATCAGTAACAATTGCAGCAGAGTAGCTATTGGAGGTGTCCTTTGTACTTAATTGGAAAAATCCATCTCCCAAAACACAGCTCTTCCAAAAATACATTGACACCTTACTTCCCCGTACCATTCTCTAATCACAAAACAATATTAACAAAATACATTAAATTAATCCCTCCGTAAATTGTTTAAGTGGCAATTTTAACTCCTGATCTAGGGAAAAGCTCATTTTTCTCAAGGCACTCACGGGAGAAAGTGAAACAGTGAAACATTCACTCTTCCCCCTGAAGAACACCACCAAAAATACCCTGTCAGAAAATCACTTTGCCTGCACGAAAGAGCTGCAGTGACAGGCAGAGCCCACAGATTTAAACCACAGGACAGCAGGCTGCTTCTCAGCATCTGTGTTTACCAGCTCACGCACTCAGTCCCGTGAGTATGGCGTATAACCTGTCAGAGGGGTAGCACACACAGTAGAAACAGCAGCAGGTTGCCCTTCAGGTGAACACTTCCATCCCGGTCAGCATCTCCACCAGCAGCACCGGAGCTCTCCCCTCAGGGCCTACCCCTGGCCGAGCCAAAGGCAGCTCCAATGCAGCTGACACCACAGGGCAGCGCTCCTCACTTCTGCCAGAGCCTTTCTGTCACTTTGCCGCTCAATGCGGTTTATCAATTCACTGCTGATCCAACTACTTTTTGTGTTTGCTTTCTGGCAGGGTTGGTTTAATTGGAGCAGACATCCATTCAGCCTCACAGTTGCACACATCATTGCAGCCCTCACACCTCCCTCACAGAAGAGGCTTCTGGTCACGGGCAGAGGAGAACGTATCCTGTTACAGCAGCCACCCGCACCCAAATCAGGTTCAACAACTGTGCAACCTCGCCCTGAAAACAGCCTTTATGAAGCTGCTCTACGACATCTTCCAAAATCAGGCCCACAACAGATCTTCAGTCCCTCCTCTGAAGGACGGATGGCGAACGTGTCACAGATTAACACAGACAAAATGCATTTGTCACTCTCTCACTGATTTCTGAGGGCTGGCCAGGGGCGCTGACTGTGAGGACGGGAAGATGAGAGCAGCACCAGCTCAGCAGCGGCTCGCAGGGCAGCACAGACCCGCAGCTCAGCTCTGGCCCAGCTCCAGCAGGCAGAGCTGGGGCAAAGCACCACAACAAACAAACGAACATGGAGGCTGAAGGGACCACTGACACAGGGCAAGGTTATGTTGTCATTACATCCATCTCTTTTTCCACTCTTCTACTGGAAATATACAAAGCCTACCTTGACATAACACTTAGAATAGAGTTGGCCTTTTACATACAATCTGTTTTAAAATAAACATTTGAAGTTGAAAGTACACACGCTAGCACAGAACATCTTAATCAGGGTACTAGATTTATTACGAAAGGTGATCACTGCACTGTTTATAAAGTGAAAGCCCTGTTAGTTCCTTCAAGTAAAAACAAATGCAAGCTGTCGCGACCAATGCAGTTAAACCTGTGGAAATACGCAGTCAGCACTGAACAATCTGAACAGCACAGTCATCATCTTTCAATGATAAATACAGATAAATTAAAGGAGTGCTGTGACAAAAGGCACCATGAATGGTGAACCATACTTCAAGCTAAGAGAAAGGCATTTTGGCAACAGCCTGCCGAGGTCTATGCAGGATGGTCTGGAGCCTCTCAGAGAGGTCTCCCAGCAGCAGGCAAGTACTTCTACTCCAGCTCACAGCTCACCCAGTAATCTTCAGAAACAAAAGCATAAAACCTGATGTGTCGTTTGCACGAATGACTACGCAGTCACTTTGTAATAAATATTTCAACTTGCTATTCATTAAAAATATAGAAGAGAGAGAAAAGGCACACACTTGAAGCAGGACACAACTCACTGCAAGTGACTAACGCAGCGATCCTCAGCTCAGCACAGCTAAGATCACGCAGCTCACACTCGAAGCAAAGCCTGTCCCAACCCTTACCAACAAACACAGCAGGGCCACGTCTGTTCCCCTTTCACGCTGGGCAGTGCATCACAAGCTACCTATGCACTGCAGATGTTCTTAGGCAAGACCACTCCAAAGGAGTTACTAAGCTATCACACAAAAGATCACAGATACTTAACTGCTATCCTAAGTATGCAGTGACAAAATGAAGTCTCCTAACTTTTTATTCAACCATGGGTTCCTCCAGATCATTCAGCTATTACACCGGGGCACCTAATTGAAAACAAGGCTATGGGCAAAAATATAGAGTGTAGAAAGATGGTCTATTTTACAAGCTTTCTTCAATTTAGAGAGGATTCAGCAAAAGGTAACAATAACAGTTTTATGAGTAACCAAATTATCAAGAAACCATCTATATGTGAACTTTCACAGACATGCTTTGAGGGTGTGGTGATTCTAAGCATAGTGCTGTGTTAACTTGCTTCTGCAAACCTGAGCTATTCTACCGTCATCTGAAAGATCTAAGCCTCTATATGAAATAAAACTCACCATAAGTTAACAAGTATTTGAGATGCAGTGACCACAGAAACCAATGATGGACACAGCCAAGGGAAGAAATGGAGTCTTTTACCAACCACCTCTCCAATCACTGTACATTCATGACAATAAACAAACACCAAAAAACCCACCACCTTCTCATAAATAAAGAAGTTCAACACTTCTAGTACATGAAAATGAACTACAGTGATATGGCTGGCACATCAACTACACCCATCATCACAATACAGAATCCTCAGCTTAATTCCTACT